AGACAGATATTTTCCTTCCTCCTGACTGGCAACTATTAAAACTTAGATTAATGAAATAATAAACCATGAGTGTAAACTAGCTATTAAGATACTAAGGACAAAGGAAAAAGAACCAGTGTTTTGAGAATTTTATTTTTAATTGCTATTTAGGATATTTTAAAGAGACCATCCAATGGTATTGAGCGCTCTGAAATATCAAAGCACTTTTCAGTGTCTTATGTTGAGCATCCAAAATCTGTAGTACCGTCTAGTGATTAAGATATTGTGTTGTTTAACGTTACGTTATTCTTAGTACCCACATAATATTCTTACTGCATTTGACAAGGACTGTTTAAGAGTTAACAGTGCTGCGTAAGACCACTTCTCTGATCTGCAAACACAGTAAGATGCATTATCTTCAGAATTATGTTAGCTCTAGAGTTAACCACAGGATGAAGAGATGCCATCTCCGCAATGAGCCTCATTTTAGCACAAGGTAAACATACTTCCCCCACATCAGCTAGTCTCAGAGCATTAGTGGTGCGTTGTGATTGATTACCAGCAGAGTGTTGCTGAGATATGGATTTGTATCTCAGCTTTTTATCACTATGACTTGCAAAAGGCAGTTCCTTATTTACAGACTCTAGCTGTATTAAGTGACATTATTAGGTACTACTTTTGTTTAAGCGACACAAAGGCTTACCATATTGGTGGTTTATGACATACAAGCTGTTTTAATCTGATGACTTACCCCTCACTTTTTCAATTTGTAAATAGGAGCTGCAGCGCAAGAACATATGGTACTAAAGAAATTAAAGCTAAAGTAAATGGCATTAAAACAAATTCAAATATAACAATAGGATACTCAATCTGAATTATAAACCTGGATCTGTATTAAGACTTTTAAAAACAGGAAACAAAAACCTAAATATGAAAATTAACCTTTCAGGTGTTTTTTTAAAGACCACTTCAGGGGTTTACTGTCATTGAGTAATTTCCTTATTAACCATTATTTCCTTAATAACCATTATTTCCTTATTAATCCATTACTTAGATCTTATAGTTAAATGAGTAAATAATAAAGATATTTTTTAATAATTGAAACCAGGTCTGAATACCACATTACTAAGAATTAGTTGTTTACCTTTTTAACTTTTGGGTTCATACCACATTACTTCTGACACAGTAGAAGTATGTTATTCATTCTTAAATGTTTATTACAGTAAATACACTTGCTTGTATCTATAAACACTATCATTGAGCACAAAACCAAAAAAGAGCCCAGCAAAACTGCTAGCCTAATGCTCATATTCCATATCAAATATCAATAAAAAGGCAATGAAAAGAAAAATTACATTTTCCTAACTTTGTAATACTATAGCAGCTTACTCAAAAAGGGAATTTCATTATACTTTTCATGTAAATAGGAAGATTTCCCTCATTATTATTCTGCAGATAAGCTCCAGCCTCTAGCACATGAAGCACCATGTACCATAAAGGCTCCAAAGTAAGATGTTCCTTATGTACTTAAATTTTAATTTCAGCACGTGCTCAATTTATACCCATCAATTTGATATGTGGGATTAGTTCTATCAGCTTGTAATCCAACAATGACTTCATCAAAGACAGTTTTTTGGTACAGCCTTACACTTAGTGCACTCTGACAAAAATAATTTTTCTCATATAATGTATTACTTCAGCTAAGTAGAGCAGCAAAAGTCTTTTTATACCACTATGCAGACTTACGCATAACTACCACTGCTACACTGCATTTCTACTCAACTGAACTATCTCTTTTCAGAACAACTTATTCAACTTATTGAATGATTTTATTTTTCATTTTTATTATAGCTTGGAAGGTTGGTTTGTTGTTTTTTGGGGTTTTTAATCTACAGGTATCTACTTGGTTGTTTGCAGCAATAAAGTATCTCATCTGTGTAATTTTACAGAGAGCAAACTGTAAACAGAGTTCTCCGTTCTCCTATCTGTATATATAAGCCATCCTGAGAAGTATATTCATGAATGAAACAGGCTTGGAAGCAGGATCCGATTTTAGCATTCTCTTAGGCTTCAGAGTAAGAATCATATACGCTAGTGCTTCTAAGCACAAAAATCCCTAACTTAAAATCTGTAAAATATGCCAACACTAACATTGACACAGTCTATGCAGACTAAGCACAATTCCTACTAACATGACTATAAGGATTCTCCACTGGGGCGACAAGAGAAGCAGCTGCTTAGAGGTGGTTTCACTCTCAGCTGCGTTAAGTATGTTGTACTGCCATTATTCTGACATCTGCAGTAACTGGCTAACTCATAATACCTACCCATTAGGTGGCAAACACCGGCAAAGAATGAAGCAGGGGTTCATACTACCTAATTTGGTAATATTTCTGGCACCTGATACTTTGTATTTACTGTACTGTAATAAGTTTGCAAACATGACAGTAAAGATTCACTATCACTCCCCAAACAGGAGACAAGTTAGTCAAGGAAAGCTGAGCAGTTCACTGTAATAAAAACAAAACAATCCTCTGACCTGACATACTTTGGAGTCACTGCATTCAAGTATCACTCAAGAGATTTCTCATTTTAAAAAAAGCAGTTAGTAGCCTAATATAAACAACAAAACTCATGGCAATTTCTAGGCTTTGCTCGCTTAAAGAGTGCCTGCAATTGTACCTTTCTCTGGCAGCCAGACACCCGGGGCAGCCCTTCTGGCCATTTGGGATCCTAGCCAAGGCCCTTCCTCAGTTTCAACAATCTTTTTTTCAAAAACCCAACTCAGGTTAATTCTTCTCAAGGAAGTATCAACAAAAGAAATAGCCGGTTCTCTGTACCTCTGATGCTGCTATTTGCTTTGAAGAATCTTGTGTTTGAATTAAGAGAAAAAGTACATAGCACAGTGATTCACTAAAATAAGGAATCTGATTAGACAATTACCTAAATACAGACACATATCACTTTTTCCCTTCCCAACAGAACAATTTACTTAGTGAATAATCCAGTGTAAGTTATGAGCATAAAGTGCAGATATCTATGTTGAGAATATACTCTTCTGTAAAGGAAGCGTCTCCTGAACAGATGGAAAGATCTACCTCTTCAAGAGCCACTAAAGACAGGAGGAAAACAGGCATGCACTAACAAACGAAAGCATTTCCATTTAGATCGTTTCTCCCCCTAGATACAAGTAATGATGTAAGAACTAAGCAAGCCTGCACGTCACTTTGCTGTGTTTCCACACATTAGCCTTTATGAAAAACATACACAGGAAAACAGGAAGAGGACTCTGCATTCCTCCTCCTCTCATTCTCCTTGCATTTTGTATTAAAATTGAAGACAAGAAATCTTGCACCTAGGGCAGAAATTGTTCTGCTGGATATTCATTTGATTAGCTCAGGGTTTCCCGAAAGGCTGACATCCTGTTAAGTACGAATCCTTCCTGAACTTCCTCTTCAAGGCTAAGACAAGGGAGGAACAAGATGCTCAGAGAAACTCAGTTTGCGTCTTCTGTCAGCATACACAGAATTCAGGTTTCCATTTCAGGTCATTCTGCTCTGGGAAATTCATATTTCATCTAAATTACTACTCCCATAGGAGCTAGAAAATTTCTTCAACTTGGTAAGAAAGGTGGGTTGGGGTTCTTTGGGGTTTTTTTAGTTTTTTCCTTGGTTAAACGGTAACACAATTTGATTTACGGAAAAACCAAATGCTCTGTCCTCCCCTTCAAAACTAACAGAGAATGAGTGCCTTCTTTCTGTCCACGAGTGACAGAAGTGTAAATAGAAGTTGCAGTGGTACTGGCACTTGATCGGAATGGCAGATTAGAGGCAGGTGCCTGAAACGTCTTCCCTCAACACCGGAGTGGAAGACACAACAACTTCAACCCCTCAGAACAGGGTATGAATCATATCCTTGCTTTCTGGTCCTAGGTCTTGACTAAAGCCAGACACTGAATCTAGACACAATGTTGACAAGAATTTTGCCGCTGATTTTAGTTAAGGTCAGACTCCACTTATCTGCTTGATACAAATGAAGCAATGGTACCTGAAGGCACGCTGGTGAAGTTGGCTGTCTTCATGGTAGCTAAACTCTCAAAGGATTTATCACAAACAGTAGCTGGCTGCAGGGAGTGTTCCATAAAATTCTCTACCTTCACAGCACAGGACTTTAGCTATGGGCCAGATGGCAATTCTTCTCATTCCAATTGTGAGAATGAAGTGGATATGAAAAGGCAACAGAGTATCTTTTAAGATTCAAAACACATGTGCAAAATCTGATGTCTCCACAAGGTGCTAACAGAGGTAATGGTCAAACATGCTTTTGGGAAAAAAACCTACATTTTTCTGTGATCATGATTTCTGATGATTTTTCTAATGATAGCCTAAAAAGAAGTTGCTGAAAACATTTTGTCACAAATTTTTCCAAATGCTTGTTAAGTCTATCTGCGTAAGGGCAAGTAAGCATTAAGAATATTTTTTCCTTTTTATTTCATCTTGTTACCTGACTTTTTGGACAAGTTAGGAAAATTACTACTTTTCCAACCATATTCAGAAAAATTAAAATATTGTTACATTGAAATACAGAGATACACTAAAGTATAATTTTGAAAGCAAAATCCTCAAAGCTATTGCAGAGACAAAATTTTCACTTCTTAATGTTTAAAATACAGAAACAGTTTTGCCTTAAGACCAAGCCCTTGAGTCTGCCATCTGTACTGCACTTTATGCAGAGAATTTGAGAGTATTCTTGCAGGGAAGAAGACCTAAGCAAAGGGCAGCGCAAAAATATCATCTGCCTACACTTCCTACAAAGTGACAAAAGACACTGAGAAAGACAGCTTGCCATAAACAGAGTTTACAAATTACAACATTTTACTGTACATATACAAGAAAGAAAGAATAATTTATGAACGTCGTACTTTATGATTTATGATGATACTCAAATATTGCAAATCCTTTACAGACTACCAGGCCTACTTAAGTAATCATTAATTTACAAAGCAAGAAACTAATACTTACATAGCTGTGACTCTTAAGGAAATCTGAAGGGTTGCTTGTGCAGACTTTATCCCCTTCCAAGCCAATTACTCTTTTACAGATATTTGATTTGGGGTCATTTGGGCTTTTCACAATTACAATATCTCCTCTGAGAGGAAAAAACAGAAACAAAAAACAAATAGAAGAACTCTGTACAAACTATTTGGCTTGAATACATGTGTATCAATGTGTATACTCCAAAAATATTCACATACATTAAAGATACTTCCTTCTGCTGAAAAGTCTTGTCTACAATTTTGGTTTCTTCAGTTTTACTCAGGGTGTAATTTTTCACGCAGTTTTTAAAGTACATTTGGAGAGATTCTTTGTTATTTAGATAATTTATGAAACATTTAAGACTACATTTTAATTGCCAATGCTCTAATGAAATGAATGCCATTTACCTTGATCCTGTTGCTACATGAATATGGAACAGAACAGATTCCATGTTCCTAAATGTTATTGAAGTTCCATTGGAAGAATAACATTTGGTCAAATGTCTAATCTGAGTTTGTAAGACCTTATATTACTTTTGCCTCCTGATTATATACATTAGAATGTACAGTGAAACAGTACACAACAAAATGGGCGAGGGCCTTGAGCCTACTGTGATCTACAACAGTAATAAAATGACATTTGATAAACAGTACTTATACCATTTGGTCACTTTCCTAACAACCTATCTGAGCACAGCAATACCTACAGCTTGGTTGGCAAGCGAGACAAAACTGCTTAGAGAGAAGTTACAGTCACACAATAGAACTGTTTTAGGGAAAAAAAATGGGAGTTTTTCCATTTTTTGGACAAAGCTGTAAAAGTGACATAGACTATATCCTAAACAAATCCTGACAAGTTGTTCAATGGGCTGTATGTCTTGGATTACTTTAACTTCCATCAGACACAATGGGAGGAGATTTATGAAAAATTAAAATTTAGAAGCAGAAGAATCTATGAAAAATAAAGGACGGATAGAATGTGGTTATTGACAAGCTCTGGCAAATGGAATGTAAAATCTAGTCTCAACAAAGGAGCATACTTTCGAATGCAATAAAAGTGGCGGCTAAGGTTCTCCGAAAAGACAATATCAGAATTTTGAATGGTTGGTTCCATTGAAGGTCCAGAACACTGCAAATTAAAAATAAATGAGAAAACATTACTATTTCCAATTACTTTTATCTAAAATACATTAATATTCAAATTATTTGCTAATAAATTAGAAAAGGTGTAATGTAAAGAACAACTAAAAACATGAGATCCTCCAAGGAACATCTGATACAATTAAAAGGTGAGGACAGCCTCCAGAGCACCTGTAACTCTGTTACAGCTCCGTATTCACTCAGGATTAGTCCTGAACCGCACTAGGTGCTACGAGCCCTTACGGATTTATTTCAGCACCTAATCTGCAGGAGCAGTGCTGAGCTCTGCCAGCTTGCCCCTTTCTTCAGCCTCTGTAAAAGAGAAGCATCACCGGAGCTTCAAGAGCAGCTCACAGCCAAAATCCACTACATCCAGCAGCAGTATCTGCTAGGTTTAGAAACGGGGGGGGGGGGGGGTGGGGGGGGGAGTGCAGAAGGGACACACGACAGGACACAGCATAAAACATCCAGAGATCTGCCCAGAGTTGGAAACAAGAGCATTTCTTATGGCATTATTAGTGACTCCAGTCTTTCTGAAAGAACGTACTCTGCAAAATACTTAATCACAGTTTCCCGTGTGCTTCAGTGACGCCTCAAGCAGTCACTTGGCAAGAAATACGAACGCCTGAAGTAGAAATAACTTTCATAAAGGCTGGACCTGCCTCCAAAAAAAATGAGCATTTACTAAACACACTTTGAAAAAGCTTGAAAAAAAAAATCATGAAGAAACCTGAAATATTAGCATTATCACATATAACAATTTCAGTATTATAGTTTTATTTTCTTTTAAATGTCATGAAAATGAAAAGTTACCACAACAATTCCTCCAAGGTACTCAAAGGCACAATGCGCTATGCAGCCATATTGCACAGTATACCCAAGAAATCGAAAGGTTTTTCCTAGGACATTGCGAAGCATGGTACAACGTTACGTCGTTCAGCTGGTTCTAGTCTATAGTAAAACAGAAGAATATCATTCATTTGATAACAAACCACCTAACATTTACAAAACTATCTTTTGTATCTAACAACCGGTGGACAATATTTTTAAAAATAGAACAGTGAATAAAAACAACAAATAATCAGATATATCTGAGGAGATGAATATAGTTTAAACTGAAATGCCATCAAGAAGTCTTTAGTTTACTACGCAGACACCTCCATGTGTACAATCAATTGACCCCCCCTCACCAGCTTATTAGTAAGATTCAGTTGAGTAGGAGCTGAAACAAACAAAAAAACCAACAAAACAACCTTTGCCAAACTAGAGTAATTAATGGGAGAGAATTGTGTCAGTGCTCTCCGCTGACTCAGCTGGGCTGCTTTTACCCAAGACCGCAGGCAGGCTAACCTGCCACATGTCTAAATATCTGCAACAGTTAGGAGGACACCCTCCCCTCCACTAGGCTGAATGGAATCTGGAAAGCTGTAATCATACCTTTAATGCAGGCTTCGCCTTCCTGACTGGACCACATACTGTAACTCAGATGCAGTTATTTATTAAGTAACACTTGACAGTTGTTTTAATCATGTGAAGACAGTGCAACTTAAATCACTGTTTTTTCTTCAAGCACTAGTATTTAAAACTGAACACTCAACAGCAAAACAGAGAAACATCAAACCATCTGAAGTGATCTGAAGATACTTCACAACTGAAATTACATTCACAGAAAACCGGAGTAATCAAGTAGTCAACCGAAACTTTAAAAGCAACCTGACAATCAAATGAAAACAGGCTTGAAGAACTAGACAAAATTAAGGATAATGGAGTCCTGAATGGCTTGCCTAAATATGACTAGAAAAAGAATAGAGCTGTTGATAGGAATTCTGGAGGTTTTGCAAAGCTTTCCTTTGACTAGATTTCCATTACCAAAACAGTTGCCTATAAAAATAAGGCATTAGGTCTTTCTGCTCTCAGTTACAGTACAGTGGCATAAGTTCTGTAGCATATAAAAGGACCCTGTAAATATCTTCTGATCCCCTCCCCCAAATATTTGTCAAACTCCGATGACTAACTGCAATTATTGCAATGTTATCTAACTAATATGCTTCCTTACACCAACTTTTAAGAGTTTTTTTAATATCTATATTTCTATGCAAGGAAGTGGAAAACGCATACTGAAGTAACTGAAGCAAGTCTTACATTCTGCAAGAAACCTGTCCCCCTTAAACTGAGTATCAGCTTTATCATGAATTAAAACCACAGCAAGATTTCCCTCATTTACTAAGATGGGTCAATATAGCTTGAAGTAATGACCTCCCCTTCTATATTTCATGACGTTTTGCTATTTCAACGTAGGCATTTAAAAGTGCACAGCTTTACTTGCACAACTCTCTAGAAGTTAATGGCAATTTTGCCTGAATACAGTCAAAAGTGGCTTTTGTTCTTTGTATTTAGTATTTATTTATAAAGAAAAAAAGACAACCATTCTTGGGGGAAAATGTTCTCTACCAAGCTCATTTCCTTGTTCCAAAAAAAGATGTACTTGCCTTTTTTTTTTTAAACATAAAAAAATCTCCAGAATAAAGCCACTTAAACCAATCTGTGATTCACCATCCTTAATATTAGCTAACGAGTTTCACAGTAATGAACCAAAATACAACAGAAAGCAGAAAAGTCTTGAATTGTTTCATTAGCACATGCAGAACCCAGCACACTGCAGGACAGCCCGTAGAAACTGAAACAGCTTCGCTGTAAGAGAAATGCACTTTCAGCAGAATTTATTCTGGAGAGCCAGAAAAGTGGTTTGCTCTTCTCAACCCAGTACACTATGAAAAGCATGGACCAACTCCTTGCTCTCAGGGCCAGAAACACTGTGAGCCCAGAAATGTGTTACAGGTGATACAAGGAAGACAGAGTGACAGCAGATCAATTAGAGCTGCACAACTAGTGTGAACTAATGACCACAACTATCTTCTGAGAGAAGTACGTCATCAATACTTCTTAAGAGCACCTGCTAGAAAGGCAGCCTCACATTGCTTCTCAGACAGAAAAATACTGCACAGCCATCCTGTATTTTAGATCCATGCTATTCAGAAATGTTATATTAATAGATTAAGACAGTATAGAATTCAGGCACCTGTGGATATTACAGGTAAAAAGGAATTGTATAAACATTGCGTTACCTTGACCAAAGTAGGTAGGTATTGTTGATTGCTCCAAATGGAACGGTAACGACAGACTCATTAAGAGAAAAGGTAAACTTCTCATGCCAACAGCTATCAGGCTATAACTAAAATAATTTTTTATTATGAAACTACAAACAACTGCTATATGTCTCTGCAAATAAGTTTCAAACCAATTGCAACTGATTTTCTGTTGGACTCTGGATGACACGTACTTACCAATAGTTACACTAAACACATTCATTTCTCATTGATGTCTGAGTAACCCTGAATTAGGAGGGATAGGTTTGTAAATTATTCAAGGAAACACAGGGTTCAGAGTGAGCCTTACCTACTGCTAGACCTGTCATGATATAAAACTAACCACGAGGATAGAACATGAGTGAAGAGGTCTCAAATTTTGTTCCCCGTCCTCTTAAAATAAACTCTTAGCCCCCAAGACATGGATTTCACCAGCCCCAGTTTATAAACGTGACACAATGGATTTTTTTTAAATGCTCAGGCTTATTAGATGTTCATGATAATGATGAAAAAATTCTTAGCTCTTATATAAGGCTTTATTACTACTCAAGAAAGTTAATTTCAAATTAAGGTATATATAGCACCTAGATTGTACACAGTTTGAACCTAACAAGATAACTTCAGAGGACTGGGGGTTTTGCTTTTAAACATTAAGGTTCATCTTTAGACATCTAACGTTCATTCCATAGAATAACTACAATCCTGGAAGTTTCCATGTCGTTTTAAGTAATAACTTCTGGCTAATAAGTGAATGGTTGTAGTAAGAGTAAGCTCAGTCAAAAACAAAAAACAGAAAACTCTAGTTTATTAAAACAATCCCACACAACATTTATCTTACAATTGCTCTAGCATCAGTAAAATACAATTGTTTTCTCAGACAACTATTTATCAGTACATTTTTAAACAATGCCATATTGTCAATCACAAGAAGGTAAATAGCAGAACGTTTTCCTACATCACACAATTAATTGTAATACAAAGTGCTGTGAGCAGGCAACTCCACCAGATACAGCATAAGACCATTAAGCACAGTAAAACAAATTATTTAAGTCACAGGCCGCTTGAAAACTTAATGGATCTGTTGTATAAACATCCTTATCGCAGAATTAATGGCATAAAACCTGTTGTAATTACTTCCAGGTATTACCTACTATCATATAGTAGGTAGCTGAAAATTTTATAGTGAAATAGACATTGGTTTTATACCAAACATAGACATTGCTTAAAAAAGATTACACATCCATATTTATCACGTAGAATACAATTTGGTTATTTTAAAAGAACTGTATAGTTTATTCCCTGCAGCAAATAAAATGCAAAATGTAATTACTATTATCTT